GGGCGCGGAGGGGAGCTGGGGGAGCAGATGGGATATTGGGGAGAGTGTGAGCAGAGGGAGATGTGGGAGCAGAGGGGATATGAGGGAGAGTGGGAGCAGAGGGGATATGGGGGAGAGTGGGAGGAAAGGGAGATGTGGGAGAGTGGGAGGAAAGGGAGATGTGGGAGCAGAGGGGTGATGGGGAGAAGACTGGGAGCAGAGGGGATGTGGGGGACCATGGGACCAGAGGGAGATGTGAGAGCAGAGAAGAGATGTGGGAGAGTGGGAGCAGAGGGGAGATGTGGGAGCAGAGGGGATATGGGGGAGAGTGTGAGCAGAGGGAGATGTGGGAGCAGAGGGGATATGAGGGAGAGTGGGAGCAGAGGGGATATAGGTGAGAGTGGGAGCAAAGGGAGATGTGGGAGCAGAGGGGTGATGAGGGGAAGACTGGGAGCAGAGGGGACACTTCCAGGATCGTCAATCTATTTGGTCCCCCTTAACTCTCCTTGGTTGACCTCTATTTGTGTATGTATCTATGTAATAGTAATTGCTCCATGTGCATGTGATTCTATCTATCTATCTATCTATCCTCTGGATCAACAGTGGGTAACTGTGGGCGTAGCGTTCTATTCAGGCTTTTCTTTTTTTCCCCAATATCTCTATAGGTTGAACTTGATGGACACGTGTCTATTTTCAACCTGACTAACTATGTAACTATCTATCCATCAATTCTTATCTTTTCCCATTAAACTTCAGCTGGGCCCCACCACTCCCTGCCTACAAAGCCTCCCATTGGTTCTTGGCTATCTATCTATCTATCTATCCATCCATCCATTTTTTCTGTCTGTCTGGTTTATCAGTCTGTTACACTTACCAATGCGTAGCTCGAAGTTGTTGAATGAATGCTTGTTGATCTCTTGGATGCTTTCATTCAGCGCGATGGAGAAATCAGCCACAGCACACAAATGACCCCATTTGTCTTCACACTGCTGCATAATACAAAACACAAAGCACATTAGCGGCGCTCAGCTGCAGTTCCTTTCTCTTCTTTTTCAAGGTAAGCTCTAAATCATACAATAACATTTTGTATCACAACCGGCTCAGTGTGTAAATCCTGCCGGCTGCATGGTCAGATATTGCCATCATTTTCAATGCTGGCATTCAAAGCCTGGTTGCCGATAGTCTCATCTTATAAGCAGCCCTAAATCTGAGCCAAGCAAAATGCAGACCGGCGTTCACTGATTCCAACACTGCCCTCTTCTAGAGACGTCTGCAGTCTTATTGAATGTAGATGTGAACGCTAACTGCATGCCTACTTTGCTAAAGCAAACAAGTGTCTTGTGGTTTCCATTTAGAATAGGGTTTAAACCATTTTTCAGTGATTTCAGTTCAGTGCTGCTGATCTCCTGTAGCCTCTTTCGGCCACTTGCTGTCTACATGCACTTGCTCCGGCAGCAGCTGTATTGCCCAGGGCAAGTTTCCTGATGCTGACAATGGTGGATCATGCCCACACATTGATCGTTGGCATAGCCTCCAATAATCTCAACTGGAAGCACATGGGACAGGTGACAAAGCAGGAACTTCAGCCTAAAGGTGGCCATACACTTTACAACCATCGCAAGACCTTAGTCTTGCGATGGTTGTAAAGTAATAAAAAAAACTTACGATCTGCCCGTCTTGGACAGGCAGATCGTACTTGCGATCATCGCAAGCCCGCCCCGAGGGGCGGGCTTCCGATGACCACAATGCTGAATGGGCAGTGTGCGCGTGCACACACCGGCCCGTGCGGCATTGATCTTACGATCATGCTAAAAACCAGCCGAAAATCGTACGATTCTCGGTTGGTTTTCTAGCATGCTCCTAAGACAAAAGACGTGCGACCGTACAGTAAAAACGGTTGCACGCCTTCCATACACTTTGCGATTATCGTGCGATAATCGCACATTGTATGGGCACCTTTACATGACTTCCCATGCATATCAGTACTTTGCCATTATTACAGCTGCCAGCATAGACCTGTGATTGAGTGCCTGCAGTACTAATTACAACCTGACTTCAATTTGCAGCTACTGGATGTAAGTTACCTGCGCTTTACCAGTTCCGAATCAGATCCCTCTGTATAAATGATGTACAAGCTACCCGGGAGCAAGGCACACCGTGTCAGGTTGGAACGTCCCTTCCCCGATCTGCTCGGGGTTCACTGAAGCATGAAATGCTGCTCTCAGGGCTTCCTGCTTCAGCTGTCAGAAGCCGACTGAAGTGCCGGGTAAACGGAAGGTGAACCACATTGCTGTCCTTCATCGTCTGCGTTGGAGGTACAGGGGAGACAACAGGAGTCTAACCCTGCACCTACTGTCCATCATTATCAAGGACAAGAGCAGCAAGACAGGCACCGAGATACGTGACACATTTATTTTTACATTTTAATCCTGTTTTTTTAAGCCATGCAACATCATCACATTTCTGAAGCATTTGAACTTACTATGTAACATACTATGTAACTACCGTTCATCATCAAACTGAATTTAATAGCAATGAAACGATTAAGTGAAATGAGCAAAATGGAGAGTTTTCACTGAGCCTGCAATAGGCAAATCTGCTGCTGCAGTGCCAGGCCAGGAGCTCATTAATGCACCGAAAGGAGGTCCACTTCCCTCATTACCCAACAGGAAATGTCATTCTTATTTGGTAATTGACGTAATTATGAATGACAGCATGGGAATTCCCCTCCATTCCCTACACCTGCATCATTCATGAACATAACGAGCGATTTACTCACACTCCATCAGTGAACCAGTGAAGCCCACGCTCATGTAGAATTAACCAATTAGGCTCGGCAGTGAACTGTCAAGGTGGCCATACACTCTACAACCATGGTTGTAAAGGGATTAAAAAAACGTACGATCTGCCTATCTTGGACAGGCAGATCGCACTCTCGATCATCGCAAGCCCGCCCCCCTGAGGGGCAGGCTTCCGATGACCGCAATGCTGAACGGGCAGTGTGCGCGTGCGCACACCGGCCCGTTCAGCATTTATCTTCCGAGCACCGTTCTAACCAGCCGAGAATCGTACGATTACCGGCTGGTTTTCGAACATGCTGGTTCGACAGAAGACGTGCGACCGTACAGTAGAAACGGTCGCACGTCTCCGTTCACACTGCTCGATTATCGTACGAAAAAACCGATCGCATACGATTATCGTACGATAATCGTGCAGTGTATGGGCACCTTTAAGGTATAACATAGGATAATAACAGAGGGGCCCTATTATATGATATACCTAAACACGTAACCCTTCCTGAACTCAGATAGCAGAGGGGGTGCAAAACCACCAACATTGCATTAAATCAGCAGAGTTAGAATAAGGTTTTTGTGGCACTCGTTACACTATGGAATGTCCCTTGGCTTCCTCATGTCTAACGCAGATCAATGGACCTCCATAAGACGTGATGATGTCAGCAGTCCAATTAAAAATAAATGTTTTTGCTTTATGTATTATGCTATGTTTATTTTGCCTTAAGAGGGTTTCTGCAGATGTCTTACTGAGGGAAACCTGCTTTGTGTTTTTTTTTTGGCCAATAGGATTTCTAGTCTAAAGGCATCGACAGTTATATATGGTTACCCTAAAGTGAAGTTGTGAGTAACTTGCACTTAATATCACTTTAATTCCACTCCTGGAGCTGCTTATATTTAGCCTGTATTCAGCTCCCCACTAGGACCACCCATGGAAGTAAAGAGAAGAAACCCCTTCTCCTGTTACATACTCCATAATGTAAAATTCAACTGACCATATGCTGGGTGAATGCCGCTTGCACAGCATTCCCACCAATAGATGGGAGTAGAGCAGCACATTGAGTGGGAACCCTTCTTAATGGACTCAACAGATGTGCAGACCTGGGAACTCACCAACAGAACCTATGAACAAAACAAGAAACTACCAGGTGGTCTATCTATCCAACGTCTGGTACACTATGTGGCCAAATATGAACACAGCCCATCACACTTACCCCGATCAGCCATAACATTCTGACCACTGAGAGGTGAAGTAAATAACACTACAATGACATCTAGAAGTGGGGGGGGATATATTACATTGGCACCTAGAAGTGGGGGGGATATATTACACTGGCACCTGGAAGTGGGGGGGGGTATATTAGGCAGCAAGTGAACATTTTATCACTGAAACTGAAATTGATGTGTTGGAAGCAGAAAAAATGGGCAAGTGTAAGGATTTGAAGGACTTTGATAAGGGCCAAATTGTGATGTCTGGATGACTGGGTCAGAGCAACTCCAAAACTGTAGCTCTTGTGGGATGTTCTCTGTCTGCAGTGGTCAGGACCTACCAAAAGTGGTCCAAGGAAGGAAAACCGGTGAACTGACATCAGGGTCATGGGTGGCCAAGGCTCACTGATGCACATGGGGAGTGGCTTGCCCATGTAGTCCCATCCAATAGAAGAGCTACTTTGGCTCAAATTGCTTGGTTCCTGATACCATACCTTCAAGGGTCTAGTGGAGTCCATGCCTCAACGGATTAGGGCTGTTTTGGTGGCAAAAGGATGACCTACTCAATATTAGATGGTTCGTCATAATGTTATGCCTGATCCTTGTATATAAGCTTGTTAGACATGCCATTGCAAAACAATAAACTTTATAATCAAGTTGGCTCCCCCTATAACAGTTTTTACTCTTCTATGAAGGCTTTCCACAAGGTTTTGGTAGAATAAGGGAATGTATGCCTATTCAACCAAAAGAGCATTTGTGAGGTCAGATACTGATGTTGGATGAGAAATGTGAGTAAGCTGCACTCCATACAGCGTTACGACCGTCCAGGATGATAGTGGCACTCATAGTGATGACATGGATGGTGCCAAGTGAAATATTGAATGGAATGAATGGCAAGTCACCAGTGCACACGGAATAGAATCATAAATGCTGGATCCATTTATTAGATCAAAGTCATATTAGTCATGGGAAGCCGACATTTCAGGGCCACACAGGGTCCCTTCTTCAAGAAATAGTACTGAATCGGTTGCTATTGGCAACAACTGCGTCATTCGTTTTCATACATCAGAGTCCCAGTAACGCCTGGCCAGCAGATAGAGAGATGTTGTGCCAACTACAGGGAGTAAAACTGACAGAAACATCTTCCCATAAGCCCGCGTGACATTTTCAATGCATTATTGTTTTTTTTAATTTCCTAAAAGCTGCAAAATTGCATTAGCGGAGAAGTGCCTCTTGTGAGGGAATGACATAATTTCGCCCATTTGTTGGCACACGGCTGGGAAAATTGCAGCCGCTCAGGAGAATATAATGCAACAACTGTCTGGTTTTCATGGATACAACCAAGTCATGATGTTTTTATCCCCTGAACTCGGCTCGGACTGCGTGCTTAGATCGGGGTGGGCAAACTCCGGCCCACCAGCTGCAGTGAAACTACAAAACCCTTCATGCATCTATCTCTAGGATTCATGACTGTGGCTGTGAGACCCTTCCAGAGCGGTAGCTGCTGGAATGCAGCGAGAAGAGTGAAGCTCATTTAACCATTTCAGGACCATCATGTTAAACCCTCTTCATGACCCGAACATTTTTCACTTTACAGTGCTGTGAAAGTTTGACTGAGAATTACTCCTTCTCACAACACCAAACCCAAAATTTATTTTATATCATTTTTATTTTTTGATTGAGGCGAACTGAGCTTTTTTTAAATGGTATTTAACCATTTACTGTCCTCAGCAATTTCTTAATTTTTAAACACACAGATTAACCCCCCCCCCTACCCCAAACAATTATATATTTTCTGAAAGCAGAGGCGCTGTAGAATAATAAAAAAAAAGAGGCTACTTGCAAATTTTTATGTCACACAATATTTGCGCAAATGTTTATCAAACTGGTATTTTTTAGGATATAAAATACAATAAAATGAATTGTTTTCATCATATCATTCTTATCATAAAATATAAAAGACGGGGTCGTGTCGGGTAAGTAAATACCAAACATGTCAAGCCTTACAAATGTATTTGTCTGTGAAATCACAAAAACTACAATACCCACAATTGTCCATGGGCGACGCTTTAAAAGCTTTTACCGTTCATCAATTTAGTGTCAACAGTGATTGAAGACCCTAGAATTATTGCTCTCACACTGACGTTCGTGGTGATATGTAACATCGTTTTCACACGTCGTTTGTATGTGCTTGTACACGACGCTTGTTTTTATTTTCTAAAATTCTTTTTATATGAGACTTTAGTGTTTTAAACTTTTTTTTATTACACCTAACTTTATTGCCACCACATGGAGCCTAACAAACCCCCTATGTGATAGCACAGATGCAATGACTGGCCCCCTTTTATGGAGACATCATTAGACCCCTAGGGACACCAAAGAAGCTGATGACGCACAGATCGAGCTTCACCAGCTTCTTCTCTGGCTACAGCAGCCGCTGAAATGACAGCTTGAAACTGGAAGTGATGTAATACACATCACTTTTGCTTTCAGTGATCGGAGGGGAGCTGGTAGTATGCTGATCTCCCTTCAATCGAAGTGCACAGACCCGCCGTGTGGGTTCTGGGACCGCACAGGGGACAGTGTAGCCCTGAATAGCTGTCAGTGGCGGGTGCGAGAGTGTGCGGTGGTTTGCTTTGGAGTTCGTGCACATTCCCCAGCTCCATACAACATACAAGCTATAGAGCTGCCTGACTACTTGCATGTGACAGCCATCGCTGGCAGTAAAGAATCATACTGTATAAAAGTTATTCTTTATCATTATTATTATTATTAGGGATGCACCGATGCCGGTATTTCGCTATCGAGTACGAGGACAGATATCTTTTTTTTCGTTACTCGCCGATACCGAATACTGATACCGGAAGTCCCATGAAGGAAGCCAGGCGGCATGTAATGACTCTCCACCAGGCTTCCTGATTAGCTGGGCGGCGTGTAAAGACTTGCCACCCGGCTTCCCGATTAGCAGGGAAATTGTCCCCATGCTTCTTGTCACTAGAAAAAGACGAGAAAAGCATGACGAGACGAGAAAGCATGGAGCCGGCTTTCTGGCCAATCAAGAAGCCAGGCGCCGTGTAATGAGGTGACGAGGGAGCATAACGCCGGCTTCCCGGCTAATCAGAGAGCCGGCGCTGCGTCATTACACGCTGCCTGGCTTCCTGATACAGGAAATGTCGGGCTAGGCATCAGAGAATTTGGGCAAGTACTCACCAAATACTCGGCATCAGCCCAGATACCGATACTAGTGGGTGGATGTCAGTGTGGAAAAGTGAGAATTCCTAGGCAGGATGCATTTGCATACAGTCTGCCCTAGGTGACGCCCACATGTGATGCTGAGCCTCTATGATTGAATGAACTGAGATCCAATGAATGAAAGCGGCGGGCCAGGGACAGCCAGGCTGCGAAGAAAAGAGCTAGATGATGCTGGATGTACTTGCCTGTTTCTCTGGGGATAATCCAGACACAGCCATGTATGTGCTTCCAATGGTTTTGATCTTCTCTATATCCTGGAATCTCTCTTCATCTAACAGCTAAAAGGAAAATAACATACAAATTACCACAATGCCAGCAGACCCTTAATATGGTACCATTCTGTTTAGAGCTGAACTTCAGGCAGGTATTAAAAAAAGACTTGCTTCAAGCTGTTTTTGCATTTTCATAGACTTGTATAGGGAGAGAAGCAGTTCTTATGTGAAAGATGGCCCTTCATCACTAGGCCTAATTCTATTAGGAACAGGAAGTACACAGTATATATAGGGCACACCATATACGCTTACAGTATGTTATGTCAATTCACATACAAGGCTGCCATGTTTCCAATACCAAATCCAAACCTTGATCCCCTTTGCAGATTCCCACAGAAGGTACTATAGGGAAGGACTCTCGCTCAATGCATAGTAGCAGTGGTCTGTATGCATCCTGCTAATTGAAGCTCTAACTCAGCAAGTGGCATATTGCAGAGAGACCACTGCTTCCACACAGGTAGCAAGGGTCCTTCTCTGCAGCATGCTGGTAGGGGACAGGCTTTTCTACTCAGGCTGTGGGTGCTTTCTAAAGAAAATTAACACCTTTTGTTCTGATACACATGGAATGTATTTGGGTGATTCAAACTGGACTATAAGACCAGTTACCATGAAAAAGAGGTGATTCCAGAATAGGGGTGTTGCTTTAAGGGCAAAGGATTGTGTGCCTGCGAAATCCATTGACATAAATCCAAACCTGGCCCTTGCCTAATGTTGTCCAAGTTTGTCTATTCTTTAGTCTTCTGACTTGGTTTTTATTTACTGCTTTCTGCCCACAAACTGTAGACCAGGGGTAGCCAAACTGCGGCCCTCCAGCTGTGATGAAACTACAAGTCCAATTAGGCATTGCAAGTCTCTGACGGCCACAGGCATGGCCTACTGAGGCAGATGCATGATAGTATTTGTAGTTTCCCCACAGTTGGAGGGCCGCAGTTTGGCTGGGGTAGACTAATGTCTACTGCATGATGCCCAAGTGTAAAGGGAACGTTACTCTGTCGCCTTTTGACAGCTGGCAGCCGACACTGTGTGCAGTGGCTAGCTGTCTGACCGGGCTGTCATTGATTGCTCAACAATTGGGAATCAAACCAACAAGAAAATATTTTCTGCAAGATGGTCATAGCAGAGGGGGTGTCACTTTGGGTCCTTATTATTGGTCGTTAATATTGCATGCAAATCTCCTTTTTATGTTGAAATAATGACAATGTGAGACTTGGGTGATAAAATAACAATATTGATTCGCATAGATGGCATATTTCATCATCTGATATTCCATGTTCCTTTCCTGTCGGTGATATTTACCTCATCAAAATCAGCGATGATCTCATTAAGTAAGCGCAGGCATTCCACGCCTTGGTTATTCATTTCGGTTTGGGAGTAGAAATCAGCGAATCCGGGGATAGATGCGAACATCACGCCCACAGCATCGTAGGACTGAGAGTACAGATCCTGAAACAGAACAACACAAACACAGCGCTTCTATTCAGAGGTGTAAAAATAAAAGCCACAGGCGTAGTGCAACATTCGGCTGATAACATTGCCTGTCAGACTAACACATTTGACTTTCTTGCTGAGCCCTTAAAACAAAGATGTCACATTAAAATGAAACACAGAGATGAACTGAATAAAATAAAGTTGCAAAGCACCACGGTGGATCTGGTGAAAAGGTTGCACCTACCTAATTCCAAAATACCAATGTTCTTTATCCGTAATATCCATTGCAATCTATATATACTATAATATATGTTCATTCATGACAGGGGATGCAGAATAAGAGAATGAGTACAATTTTAAAAAGGAAAATCTATTTTAAAAGGGATTATTTTAGGGGTCTGTTCAAACCCATGATATTTCCGCATAGCCCCTAACAGTATGGTAAAAAAAACCCACAATGAATAAATAAAAATAGATAATTAAGAATATTTTGGAAAAAGTTGAAAAAAAATTGTCATTTTCGATTTGGGCCTGAAAAAAATGTTTATTTTCGCTTTCGGTCTAGAAAATGTCATTTCGGTGCATCCCTAATTATTACAACAAAACACTACGTTCGAGCCAGGAAACTCCTTCTAATGGCCATAATGTATTATTACAACACTACATTTGAACTGGGAAAACATTTATTTTTTGGCATTGGCCACCCAAAATGAGTGTTGACAAATATTCTCAGGACAAATGCACTTACAATTCCAGATGTCACAAAAACATTCCCACAGATCGATAATCCAAAAGGTGCAAAGCATCAAGCACCTCCACTCAAAGCATTTCCTCTAGTGTGACTTTTTCGAGTGGTGCCCGTTAATGCCTTCAATCTCTATTTATTGTAAAATCTTAAAAGATGTAATTGCTTACTTCCATTGCTGTTTTTTTATGCATCTGGAATTGTAAGTGCATTTGTTGCTACTTATTGGATATGATGAACGTTTTTACCCGATAAGAATTCTTTGCGTTATATGCTGGAACACCGAGTAAAAAGCGCAAATGTGAGTTAGATATGATTGGGATCTGAATATTGTAAAGGAGTTTCCAAATACTTACAGGGTTATTCACAAAGCCGAGTGATTAACTGAGCCGAAGTGAAGTAAGCTGAACGCTGTTCGGCTATTCACTTGTGGAATCAGCCGTACATAGGCTCTGTACGGCTGCCTTCGGTCAGCTGAACATGCTCTGCATGTTCGGCTGAGCTGAAGTGCAGAAGGACTTCGACTCAGCCAATCCAACATCTGGATCGGCTGAGCCGGAGCTCCGCCACCTCACCCGCTAACGCTCGCCCCTATTCTCATAGAGGCCAAATGGCAGTGAGTGAATAGTCGAAATAGCGGCATTCGACTCGGCTATTCTGTTCGGTACCTCAGTGGTCCCGAGCAGAATAGAAAATCAATGAAAAGAGTTAAATAAAAAGGTTGAAAAAATATTTTTTAAATGTTAATAAATTGTAAAATTAAATGAACCCCACCCCCCCCCAAAAAAAACCCCAATTGGGCGGAGCTAACAGTGACAGCTAGTTCCGCCCAGCTGTTTCCTATTGGCCGGCACCTGCTGGAGTCTTCCAGCAGGTCCCACCAATGAATAACAAAAGGGTGGAGCCGGCCATGACGTCATGATCGGCTCCACTCAGTTGTTATAGTTTAATGACAGATCAGCATCCCCAGGTCATTTGGGGATGCTGATCTGTTATAACAACTGGGTGGAGCCAACCGTGAGGCAGGCCGTTCGCCTCACTTTGGCCGTCACTTCGGCTCAGCTGAGCCGAAGCATATGCTTACGGCTCGGCTGAGCCGCTCGGCCGCCTTCGGCTGCTGTACGGGTTATAGTGAATAGTCCATGCAGCAGCCCTTTAGTTCGACTGAATCGAAGGGCTCCGGCGGCCGAAGGATCAGCCGAAGCTACGGCTGGATCCTTTGTGAATAACCTCCTTCGAAGTTCTCATCAGTGACTTGATCTTTCTGAGGTATACGGGATCAACCTGAAGCAACCACCACTGTGTAAGATGTTTCTGACCTTAGAATGAGTAATGGAAGGTCACACTACATCTGGTGAGTGTGGAAAGGGGAGGGGATCACAGTGATATGAATGAATAACTCTTACTGGAATGAAGACACATTTACTTTTTTGGAAGACTGGTCATAGGCTTCATCTGTTCATCTGACTTGTTTGATGTTATAATAGCAGTCACTGTGTCACCTATCATTTTGTCTATCATTTTGTTTATATATATATATATATACTATTCACTTTCACTATATAGTTGATTTATCTTGTTTTGTTCTTTTTTGTTCTAATAGTGCTGTTTTCTTATACTTCCAGTCCAGGAGAGGAGCATGTACAACTATGCAAGACTGAAGGGAAGTCCAGAGCTCATCTTTCATTGTTTCTATTTAAAGTGTGTCTAAACCGAAAGGGTTAGGAAAGGAAGGTTAGAACCTCTGCCAGATTGTATTGCTCCCTGTGATTCACCCTCTCTATGTGTCCTGGCAGCCACTGTCACCAAGACTCAAAGTGAGCAAAAGTCCAAAAGTTTAAGTGGTCACCCAAAGAGGAATAGATGGGAATCTTCCAATGGGGGAAAGGGGGGCACTTGTTTCAGTGACAAGTATCTTAGAAGGATTCCCCTCGGTTTTGCGCTCACCTTCTGTTGTGTTTACACTGCAGGAAGTGAAGGTGAACCTCCCAAATGGGACACGGATGGCAATTCCCCCCCCCCCACACACACACAAAAACCTGGTGGGGTAACCATTGCCTATTCTATCCAAAAAGTTTCGGCTTTAGACAGTTTAAGTTTATGATGGTTAATTTTATTTTGAATACCTTGGCCAGCTGCTGAGCCCATAACACATCAAAATATGTCTACTGTAGAGCTCAATGAGGGGAAGGGTAAAGGTTGTGCCAGCCAACCAATTATAGGAATAGGGAATTCGGCACAGCCCACACTGCAGAAAATTGCACATCATTTACATCTGCAATATTTTGGATTTATATGAATATATATATATAATAAGCCAGATTCGTCAATAATTATAGTAATCAGCATGGAGGCATGTTAATGAAGTAGCTTTCCATTTTTTTTAAATAGCCAGTTGTCGCTTCAATAATTACATCACCTGATCATATATTCCTGTGTAGTAATGGCTCTTTGCTAAATGGCAGCCATGGCTATGATTAAACGCAATATCGAGCTAGCATTTGGCTGCTTTAAATACCATTTCTCTAATGTTCACAGGCAGCTACAGCTATCTCTAGTGACATATTTAGGTTATGGCTTATGATGTTTATATTTTTTCATGGAATTTTTACATTTGTTTACAATTTTTAAATTTTTTTAAGGTAGTAAATAATTATTTTTATATGTCATTGATATTTTTTTTGTTATATTTTTATATTGAAATTATTTTATATGTTTACTATTTATTTGCATGTTTTTTAGTTAATTATATATTATTTTTATATTTTGTTTCTAAATTCTTTTTTTAATTTATATTTTTCTATTTTATTATTTTACATATTTACAATATATTTA